AGACTGACACATGTAAGCGGCCCTTTTGACATAACAAGAATCAGTTGAAAGAAACTAGAAAATCAATTCAATCAAACGTTCTCTTCGTCGAATAGTTGATGTTTCGGTTTGAGAACATTTAATTTTACATGAAATGTTTGTTTACGTTCTATGATTTACATCCAATATGGATTACGTCTCGTGTAAAAGTAGTTATTTCTTAGTGTGTAGCTATCTTTTGCTTTCCGGTCAAACCATGCACCCGCTGTTTTTTTGTAAGCATTCAATCCGGGATCATCTTTCAAAATACTCCTGATCGTTGGCTGCGACATTCCGAGTTCTTTGGCCATCTTACGCCCAGGCTTACAAGAATTCCGCCGAATTCGCTCTCTCACTCGTTTGATAACTTCCGGAGTCCTGACACTGCGTTTTCGGCCTGGTCTGGGAGAGATTTTCCACGAACCGGTTTCCTTGTACCGTTTAATGGTGTGAAAGATGAATCTTTCGTTTATTCCGAGTGGTTTCAGCGTCTTCAAAATAGAACACGGTATATGATGCTTCAAAAACAGGCTTATCACGAGTTCCCTTTTCGCGTCCATGATTATGACGAGTATCAAAAGAAAGAAAATTCAAAACAAACTTGCATGCCGTGTTGATATTTTAACATACTCTAAAAGAAAAAATATGCAGACATGTATGTGATTAACCCATTTGATACTACAATTGCTTAAAAAACACTGACAGGAATTACCTTTCACCCTGTATATTTACACTTTTAAGAAGCTTTCCACCGGTCAAAGATCGTAAATCGGCCCATAGACAACCGAGATATGCCAATTTCCGTGAAATTTGTTTTGGGAAAGTGGTCAGTAGAGTAAACGCACCTATAGTGGAGGTACGTTTCAATATGGACTTGTTGCTCTTGTGGATTTTTCAAGGCGATGATAAAGAAAGAATTTTGAAAGCCACCAGCTGCCTTATTTACTCTGTGGTTTCGGATACCTTTGGGGATAGTGGCAACAATTTGAATAGTACCAATAATTAACCACATTTGGACATGTTCCGGAAACTCCTCAGAGAAGTGGTCCAATCTTTAATAGTACCAAAGACCGGTCACGCGACACATTCCAAGCATCATTGCAAGTTTTATCGAGGTTTTAAAACATTCTTTAAATTCAATTCATAGTCATAGTCATAGCACTTGGAATTGAAACGTAAATGATGTGCATAATATCTATGAAACTGTTCCGTTACTAAGGGCAATATATCAGTGTTTTTTGATCTGGTAGATCATTTAATCTCTCCAGGATAATTTGGAGAGCCTTAAGCATCTTATAAACATCAAAATAAATTATAAGTGATGCGTAGCACGCAATGAACATGTTTGGGCAGCTGTCGTCACTGAGGGAATCGTACAGGTCTTGGTTGATCTAGTAGATCAAATAGTCTGAACTCCAGGACAATTTGGAGATCGTAGAACATCTTATACACATAGAATTGAAATGCAAATGATGTGAATAATCTCAATGAACTTGATTGGAGTTATTTCGTTACTAAACGTCTTGTATCAGTCATGGTTGATCTGGAAGATCATTTGATCTGAACTCAAGCATTATTTGGAGAACCTTGAGCATCTTATGTACATCAAAATATAACATCAGTGATGTGCAAAAACTCTATGAACATTTGGGTAGCTGTCGTCACTGAGAACATCACTCAGGCCTTGGTTGATCCAGTAGATCAGACAGTCTGAACTCCTGGACAAATTGGAGAACTTCGATTATTGCATCATCTCGAATTTTCCAATTGGGTTTAATTAACATGTCAGTGCATGATCCGTTGCAGAACTTCAGAAGGTTTTTGGAGATCTAGGCCTTTGAGTTTGGGTATAAACTCGTGCTTTCATATTTTTCCTGTATAGTTGACACCCACAGAATGCTGAAGAAAGTAATGAGCTATTTATAATTTTTGATTTTATGCAGGTCATATATGACCACGTGGGCTCGAAACGGTTAAGTAAGTTTCGTACCATTACTTTTTATGCAATGGGACAACCCGTTTGGCACACGCACACATAATGCTTGGGCCATGGAGTGGGGAAGTAGGTGTTCCAATGCAAGAGGGCACAGTCTGCTGGAAGCTCTGGCAAAACTGGAAATAGTTGAGAAGCTGAAAGTCATCGTGGAAGGACTTTTCCCGAAGCACGACTCAACGACCTGGCCACCTACACCGTATGGAGAAGGAGAGGGAGATAACATCGAAGTCACCAACGAGGAACTCGTAGCAGTGGCGAAAGGATTGAAGGTGAAGAAAGCTCCCGGTCCGGATGAAATCCCCAACGTAGTGTCGAAAGTGGCGATCCAGGCGTCCCTGGACATGTTCAGGATGGTGCTGCAGAAATGTCTGGACGAGTGTTGCTGCCGAAACCAGGAAAACCACCGGGGGATCCAGCATCGTATAGGCCTATATGCCTGCTGGATACACTCGGAAAACTCTTGGAGAGGATCATCCTAAACAGGCTGACGAAATGCACGGAGAGTGAGCACGGATTGTCGGAGAGGCAGTTCGGATTCCGGAAGGGGAAATCGAGGTGGATGCAATTCAGACAGTGGTCGAGAGAGCCAAAAGGGCGTCCAAACAGAAGCGGAGAGGAGATCAATATTGCGCCGTGATAACTATCGACGTCAATAATGCGTTCAACAGCGTCCGCTGGTAGGCCATCGCCGAAGCGCTGCATAGAATGAGAGTCCCTGATTACCTGTGCAGGATCCTGAGTTATTTCCAGAACCAGGTTCTGGTCTACGAGACAGACATCGGCCAGAGATCGATTAGGATCACAGCGGGAGTTCCACAAGGCTCCATCCTTGGTCCAACGCTCTGGAACGGGATGTACAACGGCGTGCTAACGCTGAAGCTGCCCAAAGGTGTTGAGGTCGTTGGCTTTACGGACGACGTCGTCTTGACGGTAACAGGCGAGACGCTGGAAGAGGTTGAAGTGTTGTTGTGTTGTTGCGATCAACATGATGCAAGGAGCGAAGCTGTAGATAGCCCACCACAAAACGGAAGTGTTATTGGTCCGTAACTGTAAAGTGGTACAGCGGACAGAAATCACCATCGGAGAGCACGCCATAGCCTCAAAGCGTGTGTTAAAATACCTGGGAGTGATCATCGATGACCGGCTAAACTTCAACAGCCACGTCGAATATGCCTGTGAGAAGGCTTCGAAGGCCATCAACGCGATAGCATGCCGAAAAACGCTGGTCCCAGCAGTAGCAAGAGACGTCTTCTGACCAGTGTGTCGACTTCGATACTGAGGTATGGAGCTCCAGCCTGGGTTCCAGCGCTGGAAACGAAGCAGAACCAAATAAAACTGAGCAGTACGTTTCGGCTCATGGCCATGCGAGTCGTGAGTGCGTACAGAACCATCTCGTCGGAAGCAGTCTGCGTTATCTCCGGTATGATCCCTATCGGCATCACCCTGGCGGAAGACAGCGAGTGCTTCAGGCGGGAAGAGTACGGAAAGTTGTGAGAGTGGAGTCATTTACTAAGTGGCAACAGGAGTGAAACACGACGGAGAACGGTAGATAGACACATAGACTAATACCGATTCTTTCGACCTGGGTGAACAGAAAACAGAGAAGTCAACTTCCACCTAACGCAGTTCCTGTCTGGCCACGGCTGCTTCAGGAAATACCTGCATCGGTTTGGACACGCAGCGTCACCCCTCTGTCCGGAGTGTGGCAACATCGATGAAACGCCGGAGCATGTGGTCTTCGGCTGTCCAAGGTTCGAGGCAGTGCGAAGGGAGATGCCCGTCCTTAACGTGGAGAATGTCGTCGTTGAAATGTGTCGAGAGGAGAGCACTTAGAATGCCATCAGCAGGGCAGTCACGCAGATTATGTCGGAGCTGCAACGTTAATGGAGAGAAGAGCACCGATCTAGCAACGCCAGCTAGCGCTGAGAGTACGACAAGTGCATTAGCACAGCCACCCCCCGAAGTAGTCGCTTCACTGTGGTCCAGGAGGGATTCAGCCAGAGGCAGAGTAAGGAATGGGTTTTAGTGGAGCTGCACTAGGCATAATTTGTATACATCCCAAGGACTTAAGTTTTCTTTAATTGATTATGATTCAAGTTGAAAAGAAATAGAGGTTTTGGGCCTACGGGAGAAGAGGTAGTAAAATTATTTTCACTCCCGCGGGTCTTCCCCTCAATCAATAAAAAAAAAAATGATAAAACACAACATAATTCCTTCCTTTTGATTAACTACGGGTGTGATAACGATGGCGAGTTCACTATGTTATATCTTCATTTTATTTCAGCAACCTTATCTTTCAGCAGACGCTCTGGACAGCAATTTCAACATTTATAAAAAATCTACATTTGCCAGCAACAGTGACTGGCTAGGGCTTACTTTTCCTACTAACATAATTCATAAATTCCCGAGACATTTATGAGGGGTCGTAAAGTTCTCTGCATCTCTCTTAAGCAAATGTTTGACTAACAACTGGCCACGAATCCTTCACTGTTGGAGCGGGATATGTCTTTATCTGGGAGATGGTAATTATTTCCTACTTACTATCTGTCCAGTAATAGATATCCGTCTTGCTCTTAATAGTTTTGAATTCGTACCACCTACAACATTGTGCAACTTGTTCGATGCTTATGCTAATGCGTTAATTGATGCCGCTTATTATCAATGAAGTATAAAATCTATTAACAAATAATCGATTGATTGGGAAAATTGGAAATGCCTATCAAAACCTATACCCCACAATCCTAAAAGTGAAATTCTTTCATAAATCGGTAGAAGTTCCCTACGAAATTGCTTCATTTCTTGACCACAGCAACGGATCCATTGGTCTTTCTATAACCACTCATTTTAACAGCCGCAAATAAATCAGGGTCATTTGATGTAAAGAATTATCTCTTTCAAAAGGATCAAACATTGGTCCAAATTTACCCAAACCCGATAATATTCGTTAACGATGGGTAGATCAATACGTTTGCCAACTATCACTCACCTGTAAGGGATGCCTCAGAATATCATTGTAGTACGGATGTGGTGGTATCGATTGCTGTTGGAATGGTTGCATTGGTCCCATCGTCGACGCACCGCCCATAATCTGGGCCTGCTGGAGCTGCTGTTGGTGAGCTTGCAGCTGTTGTTGCTGCTGCTGTTGGTAGTACGACAGCTGCAAACACTGCACCGGCGTTGGAAGGGTTCGCCCGGAACTGGGACGTAGCTGTGTTGTCGTTTGGGTAGGCTGTATCACCCCGTAGTTCTGGTGGATGATGGTTTGCGACAGAAGCTGCCGACCATCCAGACTGACCGGAATACCACCCACGCTGACGGCGTTCCCGCTTCCGACCACCCGCTTGGGGCTGTTTATGTTCATGTTGATGTTGAAGTTTTGGTGTATGATTTGTTGTTGCTGTTGCTGTTGTTGTTGCGGCAGCAGCTGCATCTGTTGATGCTGTTGTTGTTGGAGTTGTTGTTGTTGTTGGTGCTGCTGCTGCTGTTGCTGTTGTTGGTGATGTTGCAGGATCAGCTGATGTTGCTGTTTGAGCAGCTGCTGCTGGGAGAGTAACTCTGCACTGAGCGGCTGCTGGAAAGCTGGCCTCAGTGGAGGCTGTCTGCAATATCAATTCTAACATTACTTTCAATGTGCTGTCGAACGGAATTTAGGCGAGTGGATTGGATATCGGATTGCCTACCTTAGTGGTACCTGTCGCACCGGAGATCCCTGAAGTGATCGACTGGTGGAAGAACACATTGATGTCGTTAGGCTGGCCGATTCCCAGTGCTGCACCAGGGCGTTCATCCGGGCTTCCTCCAACGCCTGTTCAGTTTCGCTGCTCGAATCGTAATCAGGCCCCTGGTTGGATGTGTGCGAATGCGTGAGAGTGGAGAAAATAAAATTCTGATTTATTGAATTTATCGGAGATGGTGAATATGGAAGGTAGCCAGAGTCAGCTTCACAAGAGTGCGATTCCCGTGGATGCGCATGGCTCTTCAAAACAAAAACAGTTTGGCATCCCTATCCACACAGGGACCTCAAACTAAGGCCGTGCAAAAATTGGGGAAATCAAATTCCGATAAGCCCGAGAGATGGAAAATCGATCGAAAGCAACCAATTCAATTTGCAAATCGAATTTCCCAAAAAAAAAAACACGTTTCTGGTTTCATCTTTTCGCATCAAACCCGAAATGCCTCGTCATGCCACACACGTGTAAAGTGAACGTTGATTACCTCTTCGATTTTTTGATCCAACATTCGGAAAAAGTTCTGCTGACTGGAGGAAATTTCCCTGCCACAAGAAAAAGAAACAGGAAAAAATACAGTCATAAATGTCATGATTCCGAAACATCACCGCCGCACGGGAGTGGGGAAACATACTGGCTTTGAAGTAGCGAGCCGTTCTTTCGCAGTATCGATACAATCTCGCCGTTGGGGGGCTCCGGTGAACCGTCGTCCCGGAGGGATCCGTCTTCGTCCAGTTTCTCCTTTTCGCCGTTGATTTCGCGGTCCCGCTCGTCTCGCCCGTTGTGTCCATCTTCCTCGTCCGCGTCGGCGTCTTCTACTGTGAAGAAAGAGAGAAAGTTTGGTAATTAGATTGTGCCAGTGAGGATGGTGTTTACAGGAATTATTTTATTGCGTTCGTTACTGCAATCCTCTGGGAGTGGCGAAGCTCATTGCTTTAACGTTAAAGCGATGCGTGCATTTTCAATGGAAATGGTGAGTTTTATAGATAGTGGAGTTTTAAGAGCTATGTTGACGTTTTAAAATAATCTCAATCATGCTCATGTCCATTAGGCTGGGTCAAGTTTGTATGGTGGATCACAACCCCCCTGTCCCCACTCTTTTTTCCTTGATTTGTTTTCAGTCGATCTTGTTTTCCGTACTGATACGTGATCAGAAATTTTATGCCTCAGAAAATCCCGGTGGCGCCGACTGGGATTGAATCCAGGCCCTTTGGGGTGAGAGGCAATCACGTTTACCACTATACTACCCGTGCCCCTATGTGGAACATTTGGTCTAAAGCGAAGACTACAAATCAAGAAGACTGGCAACTGTTCCCTTATCCCATACAAATGACAAACGTCACTGATAACAGCGCCTCTGTTAATCAATGGTGGAACTTTTAAGCACAAGTGTGACTGTGTGTTGTTATTTTTGTTTTACTCTACAAAATTTCACGGCAATTTGTATCCAACTCCAAACCGAAAAACTTGTCATGGTGAATCAAGCAGAGGATTGAAACTCAGATCGATACCTAGTGAAAGTAACTTTTGCTTGTGAACGAGGAACCGAAATTTTTTTTTTCCTGTTGGAAGCCAGTAATTATGAGGAATTGGCAACTTCCATCACCATTGAGTAAACTACCGTCATTCGGTAGCTGCTGGAAATTCAAGGATTCAAAAAGAAGAAAGATCCGGTACCTACATCACGATCCAACGGAAGGCGTAGCAGGATCTAATGTTGAAGAAAATGAAAATGAAAGGTAGAAGGACTACAATCCCAACGTACGTATTGATAAAGAATATATTTCCATTTCGTCAGAACATGAAACCACCGGATAGTGATCCTCTGTATGCTTTAACAATTCTTGGAATCGACCGACCCCTTCCAGAGAAAATGATAACAACAGTGACATTCAAATGGTCAGCGAGTACTGTGCAAAGTTGCCGAGCATCATAACTTAACCCCCCCCCCCTCCTCCCCCCACACACTGTGTTAATGTGCCAAAGCCGTGTGAAACGGGCATGCATTTTACTAATGCACCATACGAATGCCCATAAATGCAGCACTCAAGGGCTTAGGAAAAGTGGAAGACACTTCTGAGATAGCAAATTCATGATCGAGGATGGTTCTACCATGGTAAAAAGGTAAATTAATCATTAAACAATGACGATGTTCCTTAATAAGCAAAAAAAATCTCCCTAAAATAGATCGGGTTGCTCCTTAAATGATTGATCAAAATACGTTAAAAATCATAAAATGCTCAGTAAATATTTAAAGTACGCTCCCTAAAATAGAGAAAACTGTACATTAAGCATTTGAAAATGCTCCTTAGTATGTACCGCTTTGCACCATTTTGAAGTGTAATTGTACCATATATCATCGGAAAAGCTGGTGTAGAAAGGTTAATAAGTACCATGAAATCAGCTGAAATGTTCAGTAAATCATTGTGTGCATTTGTGCATTTTTACTGAACATTTCAGCTGACTTCATGGTACTTATTAACCTTTCTACACCAGCTTTTCCGATGATATATGGTACAATTACACTTCAAAATGGTGCAAAGCGGTGCATACTAAGGAGCATTTTCAAATGCTTAATGGACAGTTTTCTCCATATTAGGGAGCGTACTTTAAATATTTACTAAGCATTTTAAGATTTTTAACGTATTTTGATCAATCATTTAAGGAGCAACCCGATCTATTTTAGGGAGATTTTTTTACCTATTAAGGATAATTTCATCTGTTGTATTGAGCAAAAGTCGGGCTGCCGTTCTACCATCATTGTGAATGGCATCATTACAAAATTTTTAATATTCATCATAAATTTACTTACGCATCTGTTCAATTTCGGTTGGAATTTTTTTCGTTTTCATCATAAATCAAAGAAAGAAACGTTTCACTTTTTACGACAATCATAACAAAACCAATAATTGACAGCTATTTATGAATGCACTCGTGAATTAACAAACACCATCCTACACAAGTTCCACTTTTGCTCAGAGGAGGTGTTGCCATTACTGTTTACTGATTTTTGAGCAATAACGACTTGGGCGTTAACAGGTCAAGAGGCCATTTCGATCTGTTTGAGACCATTTCAACCATTCTAGTGTTGTATGGTGATTTTTGTTTTTTTTAGTAATGATTTCGTTTAAAGGCATTTTTAACATTTTTGAATCTTTTTTGGTATTTTAGAGGTAATTTGTGCGTTTTACATCAAGTTTACTTATTTTAAGGCACTTTAAGCGTTGTAAAATACATTTCGGTGTTGTGTAAGCCATTTCTTTTAACTTATCGGACTTTTTTCAAGTCATGAATAACGTTCGACTATGAAAAGGAAGCTATCAAGCTATCAAGTGTTATAAGACGTTTTCTAGATGAAAAAACAATGTACAAAATTATTCCTGTATATTGTACACAGCTTCAGGGTAAGCTAGAACACAGAATTAATGTTAATGGAAATTAAACAATTTTTGATATGATGTCCATTGGAAAAGTAAAGTCTCGAACGCGCAAAAATGGGTCAACTTCAAATTGGTGTATTTATGTTAAAATGCATAAAAAACCTAAAAAGCTGCATTCGGAAGTTGAGTGTATATACAATGGTTGCTATGATGAGTTTTCACCGTCTGCTCTCCAATTTTCAAAATGTCGTCCAAGCAAGAGGAGCAGCGTGTCAAAATTTTGCTCGCGCAGCAAGAGAATCCGACGTTCTCACACGCCAAGTTGGCAAAATTGTTGGATGTGGTCAAATCGACCGTGACAAACGTTTTAAAATTGTTCGGGGAGCGTCTGTCGACCACCAGGTAGCCTGGAAGCGGCGACACTTGAAATCCGGACGTGGCAGCGACGACGAAGAAGGTGGCCGTGAAGTATAAGCGGAATCCTAACCTCTCCATCCGGGACGTCGCTGGCAAGCTCAATGTCCCTCATACTACTGTGCAGCGGGCCAAGAAACGAGTCGAGTTGTCAACGTTTAAGAAGGTGAAGGTGGCGAACCGAGATTACAAACAAAACACGTCGGCAAAGCAGCGGTCCCGAAAGCTGTATACGAATCTGCTCACAAAGTTCGACTGTGTCGTCATGGACGACGAAACTTATGTGAAGGCGGATTTCAAGCAGCTTCCGGGACAGGAGTTTTATACCGCATCAAGAAAGGGAAGGTGACTGAAATTTTCAAAATCATCAAACTATCGAAGTTACGGGAACCATCAATCAAGATATTTACGACCAGGGGTGCCTGGTTAAGCGGCTGCTACCATTCCTAAAGCAACATAATAGACCTGTGCTGTTCTGGCCGGACTTGGCGAGCTGCCACTATGGGAAAAAGGCAATCGAGTGGTACGATGCGAACAACGTGGTTGTGGTACCCAAAGACCACAACCCCCCCAACAGCCCAGAACTCCACCCTATCGAACGGTATTGGGCCTTGGTCAAATGGAATCTCAAAAAAACTAATAAATCCATGGAAAACGAGCAGCAGTTTTAATGTAACTGGCGTTCGGCAGCGAATAAGGTCGATGAGATCACTGAGACCACAAATTCAATGAAAGGGGTTAAGCGGAAGTCACGGATTTGGCAAACCAAAAGAATAAACGAACATTTTGTCCTTTATATATATGACTTGAACTACAAAAAGAAAAATAAGAAGATTTTTGTCATAGCGCTGTTGCTAAATTGTTCGAACTTGTTGTTATGGAACCGTTACTCGCTCACTGTAAGCCGTTTATTAGTATCGACCAGCATGGTTTCATCGCTGGTCGCTCCACTGCCACTAACTTGCTGTGCCTTACTTCCTACATCTCTAACAGTATGTCGGATCGTGCGCAGACGGATGTCATTTATACTGACTTATCTGCTGCCTTCGATAAATTGAATCACCGCATATCAATCGCTAAACAGGACAGGCTTGGTATCCACAGCTGCCTTTTGCAATGGTTTCAGTCGTACCTCACCGATCGCTATCTTACTGTTGTCGTTGGTGATCACCAGTCCCGTACGTTCGCTGCCACATCCGGCATACCTCAGGGTAGTCACCTGGGACCGCTGATTTTCCTGATTTATTTCAACGACGTAAATCTGGTAATTGAGGGACCACGATTATCTTACGTGGATGACCTTAAACTCTACCTCCGAATTTATTCAATTGAAGACTGTTGCTTCCTTCAACGTCAGCTGAATGCTTTTGCTGATTGGTGTATTCTGAATCGTATGGAGGTTAACCCGTCCAAATGCTCGGTTATCTCATTTTCGCGCAAGAAAGAGACTATTATGCTCAAGTATGTTTTGTTAGGCACTGAAATTGAGCGCGTCAGCCAAATTAAGGACCTAGGCGTGATTCTGGATACATAACTCTCTTTCAAGCAGCACATCTCGCACGCCGTCGACAAAGGTTCCAGAATTCTAGGGTTTATCTTCAGGATTGCCAAAGACTTCACGGATATCTACTGCCTTAAATCGTTGTACTGCTCCTTGTCTCGCTCCATATTAGAATACTGCTCGGTTGTCTGGACTCCTCACTACAACAACGGTGTCGAAAGAGTTGAGTCTGTTCAGCGACGGTTCCTGAGATATGCGCTACGTAAACTGCCGTGGACGGATCCCTTCCGATTGCCTAGCTACGAAAATCGTTTGCAACTGATCCATCTGGAGCGCCTGTCGGTCCGAAGAGATACAGCAAGGGCATTGCTAATTGCGGATATTTTGCAAGGACGCATCGATTGCCCTGTCCTCCTTGAGCAAATTGACATCAATGTTCAACCCCTAGCCCTACGGAATAATTCAATGCTGCGCCTGCCCATACAGCGAACTAATTATAGCATGTTCGGTGCAATCGGTGGTT